GTCGCCCGAAACTACGCCGCCCCTCTGCGGCCCGCAGGTGCCAGGTATATCTAAACAACTACCCGCCTGTACAGTGGGGTAAGGCGGTCATTTTGCAGCTTGTGGTATAAAAATAGACAATGGCTAGAATATTCATGTGTGCCTATAGGGGTGCACCGAATGGGAAATTCTTGGCCGAAACCGATACCGAAAATAGGAAACAGTTGGCCGAAAACCGAATACCGAAAGGCCGAAAATGATTAATAGAAATATATATATATAATGTATACATTTTTTACCAATGTTGTTCAGCTACCTGATTATGGAAAAAGACATGATTATGGCAAAAACTTAACTTAACTTAACTTAAATAATAATCACTATTATGGGTCGATAAAACATTTATTCAGCACTTTTGAATGCATACAGTACATTAATTCCAAGTCAAGTGCATTTTCTTTTCTCTGTAGGATAACTACAACAAAGTGCATTCAGAACAAAGCCAAGGTTATTTAAAACTGCATAAACATCTAGGCCAGTAGGCCTACTACAAAATAGTGTAAATAAAGACTGTAACAGCCAGGCCTTCAACAACAACAAATGCACCTATAAGTTTGGTAACCTAACGTGTTGTTGTGATGACGTAATCAAAACGCGGCTACAAGCACGGCGCGCGACCATGCTCGCGGCTGGCTCACAGCCAACATGTCTGCCGCTTGGAGATATTTCAAAATATCAGAGAAAGAGGCGCAGATTGCAATTTGTAAAACGTGTTCAGCTGACATTTCTCGAGGGGGTGTAACTGCAAAGACTTTCACCACTTCGGGATTACTCCACCACTTGAAATCAAAACACCCGGACAAATATGCGGATTATGATCAACGTAACCCTGTTCTCTGACATGGTGATATTTTTTCGGTGCTAAAACCCTTTCGGCCGAAAGTGCCTTTTTAACAATTTTCGGTCGATAATTTTCGGTGGCCGAATATTCGGTGCATCCCTATATATTTTGGCACAAGGATCCTCGCAGAGGATTGTTAAAGCAAAAGTATAGGTATAGATGACGTTTTTTTAATAAAACACTATCAAATAAGAGGCGTGCGGAATATTTCAAAACTAAAAAATATTACAATTTACAAAAGTAGACATCATGACCCAGTTACTCAAGATGATCCACAGAGCATTTTGTGAGCTGTTTAATATAGGATTTAGGATTTTCTTCTACTTGAATACACCAGCATATCCTATGACCGTAGATGCACACTTCCTTCTGTCTGGTGACACAGTGGTGCACACAATAAGTCCCTTTTTGAGTGTCATAACCTGTATTGTGTCCTGTTTTGTATCGGCTCAGGCGGACTTCCCTACGGTGATAGGCGTGACCCTCGACCGAGAGGATGGCAGCACGCCAATGGAGACGGATGGTGAAAAGACCAAGCAGAGTGGCACCACCTACTTTATTGATACCAACCAGCTGAGGGTACCCCGGGAGAGCATGGAGGTCATGTCTCCGCTCAAGAATGGCATGAGTGAGTGTTGATTCATGGCGTGCAATTATTATTAAAGAACATTAAGGTATTTAATTGCTGTGTTCTTGTGTTAGTCTAAGGGATTTGCCAGACTGTCTTCTGCTTATCTGCAGTGCTTACAACCCTTATGAACATACATGAGGGGTTTGTATAACCCCCCCCCTTTTTATCTTGGTCTGTGACGTAAACTTTCCAATGAATATTGATAACCCTGTCTGCTTGATCCACAACCATAATTAGACTACTTTGGTCTGACTGCGATCCATCTTCGTAGGTGAACTTGTCAGAACTCTGAGTGACCTATAGACTGCTGTTCATCATCAATATTAATGAGGTTATTTGAAGACCAAGATAACTCATTAACATGAGCTCCAACATGAGCCTACAGTGTAGGGCTGTGCGATTATGGCAAAAATCATAATCACGATTATTTTGACGATTATTCATTGAACATTTATTGAACTTTAAAACAAATAATATTTTACCAATAAACAAGATCAACAAATATGTTGGAGCGCACTTACAAAACCATACTAAACATATATTAATATGATAAATAAAAATAAATTAGACCAAAATAAATTAAATCAAATATGTTGCAGTGCACTGTCACAACCTGAAAACATACAGCCAACATATTCAACATATTCCACTCAGTTAAATGTTGAAGGCTGGCCAACCGTCATGGTCCAGAAGTAACAGGAAATAAATGTTGAACTACAATTTAAGACCAAATAAAAATGTTTTGGCCACCATGGCAAATGCTGGTAGTGCTCGTGTCATCTCTTAAAGATTTTTTGCAAGAAACACCAGCCTGTTTACATGGTCTGGTTTCAGAGATGAGCGCAGGCAGGTGATAATATTGCCACCTGTACTGAAGACGCTCTCTGAAGAGGAACTTGTGGCAGTGCTGCCACATATGACACAGGAAAAAAAGAAAAGACTCTGAACCCTTTCTT